CTCCTATGTTGTCATGTGCTGCTTCATATTGATGGGAACTTGACAGTTTTCCAAAAGATGATCTACTAGAAGGAGAAAATAGTATATTGGATCTTGCCCACCTCCCTATAGATGGCACTCCTTAGGTGGGAGAGTGCTGAGCTTCTAGGTTCCATCTGTGCCAGAGATGTCATGAAGGATACCAGGTGCTGGGTTTGGAATACCTGGGTTCTAGGTCCAGTCTTGGTCCCCTCACTGGCTGTATGACTTTAGATTAATCACTGAGCCTCTCTGGCCTCTTTAAATAGTCATAAGACAAGTAAAATGCCATGTGACCATCTAACCTGTTTATCTTGCAGGGTGACCAAACATAATAGTTGAGGGTGCATGGAACAGGCTGAGGTGTCCTTTGGTGACAGTCATCTACATGCCTGATACATCTTCATATAGTACCTGCTATGTCCAGGCCCAGTGCTCAGCTCCAGGGTAAAAACAAACAAACCAAACAAAACTCTCCCCCCTCCCTGCCCACAAGGGGACAGGCAGATAAACATGTCTTAATAGCCCATCACCAGCTCTAAGCTGCTGTCCACACTGTTGAAGTCAAACAGGAACCCTGAGTTTGAATCTAACATGTTTGGGATTGAATCCCGGTCTAGCTACTAACAGGCTGAATAGTGTCCCACTGTTGCCTGTGCAAGGGGGTAATCATCACAGTTAAGGATTGTGGTACAGCAGTGGTGACATGCATGGCAAGCTGGTGTGCTTGTGCAGATAGGTGACATTATTGATTTTATAGGGAGAGTCGGCCCTGGAGGCTCTGAGTTTGTCTCCAGAATTCTTTTGGACTTGGCTTTCCAGAGCTAAGTGGTCAAAGGGCAGGATACTTGTGAAATTTCTACCTGGGGACTTTGTTAGAGTCAGCTTGCTCGTGACTAAGTGGGGTGAGGTTGGAGGCCAGCTGGGGTTGAAGAGCAGCTGGTTAATGCAAAAGCCTGCCTCAGGTAGGTGCCGGGCACCAGGCCAGCCTGAGACTCAGGCCCCTGCCCACCTGGCTCTTGTGCCAAAATCTCCCCATTGAAGTTCTTAGGAGGATCTGAAAATTCTGTGGGTCAGAAATGCTATGGTTCTGTGCCATGAACTGGCAACTGGGGCTGGTAGGTGTGCTGGATAGCTTTAGTTGTCAACTTGACACACCTGGTTAGAGGGAACCTCAATTGAGGAATTTTCTCTATTGGATTGGCCTGTGGCCATGTCTGGGGGCATTTTCTTGATTGTTGAGTGTTATGGGCCAGCCCAGCCCACTGTGGGCAGTGCCACCCCTGGGCCTGTATTGTATTAAGAAGCTAGGCTGAGCACTGGCCAGGGAAGCAAACCAGTAAGCAGCTATCCTCCATGGTCTGTGCTCCAGGTTCCTGCCCTGAGTTCCTGCCTTGGCTTCCCTTGATGATGGACTGTGCTTGTAAGTCAAATAAACCCTTTTCTCCCCAAGTTGGTTTTGGTCAGTGTTTTTTCTCACAGCAATAGAGAAACTAACTAGAACATGGTGGGAGGGCTGAACTTGAACCCCTAGTCCCAGAGAGGTATTCCCCAGAGGAGGAGGATGGTTGGGACCTTGCCAACAGACATCAACAGTGTGTCTGAGAGGTCAGTGGACCTACCAAGAACCTGTCAGGTACCTGGTACTACATTTGGAAACCTGGGTGGGAAGAGATATAAAGAATGAAATGATTGCAGTAAGTTTAAAATCATGATCATCATTGGCCACCAAGGACTTACAAAGTGTTTCACATTCTGTCACTCCATTTTCTGTGATCCTCACATCTTGTTCTTGTGGAAGACACTAAGACTCAACCAGTAGGCAGGGCTGGATTCCCAGCCACTCCCAAGTCCAGCAACTGACCCACATGGCTTCCTTGCTGGGCCGTCTGTCTGTGGTTGCCTCTGCCAGGCCTGGCTTTGACCCCAGTGGGAGAAGGGATGCATAGGTAAAGAAGGAAGGGCTTTGCCCTAAGCTACTCACACTTTATGTTTGGAATTTAATTTTCTTAGAAGCTGCTGAAGGCCCACTGGTAGCCTGAGGTGTGAGGGGCCAGGAGGGAGGGGTGCTGGGAGCCTATGTGGACAGAGCATGCTTTGTGCTGCCAGCCAGGCAGGGACAGGATGTGTGTGATGCAGGGAGCAGTGTGAGGTGGCAGGTCCCAGCTCCTGGGACTTGCTTTGCCACTGCCTTGCTGCTGATACTTCACTTCCCCTCTGGGCCTCCAGCTCCAAGCCTGGAATTCTGTGTTGTGAGCCCTGTGAGCAACAGCTGAGCATTGTTAGGGAAGTTGTTAGAAAAGTTGCTACTCTGATAACAAGGAGGGTTCAGATCCCAGTTGGGGCTCAGGCAGGGGAGGGAGAAAGTGGCCCCCAGCTTCTAGAGGCCTAGTGCCTGGGGCAGTTGGAGCTCTGTAGTTTTAACTCAGAATCTAACAGGGCAATGATGTGGCCAAAGCTGTGTTATGTGGGGAGAGCAAACTTTCCTTAGAGTCACTGTGGACTTGACAGTGTGGACCCTGAGTAGCTTATAGCCAGCCTTGTAGGAACTGCTGTGTCCTAAACCATGGCTGCATGCAATTTCTAAGCCCTGTTCTGCCTTGTGTTCTTCTCTGGATGTCTTTTATCTGCAGCTTGGGATTTATGAGAGATCCCTTTCCTCCCCCAGCTGTCCTCAGTGGCTACCTGTCTGTGTTGCCCACCTGTCGTCTGCATTGCCCTTCTCCCAGGGTATAGCACAGGTCCCTGGATGGGAATGGGGCAACGTTAATACTGTTACACAGATGAGGAAATCAAGGCTCTAGAAATAAAACTGAGAGTCACAAAGACTCAAATCTCCCGGGACCAAGGTATTAGTGATCTTGACATGAATGGGTGTCTGTCCCGATATTCTCACCCACTCACACCCCAGCATGGCTTAGCTCAGTGCTTTGTGCTTAGTAAGTGCTTTGTTCAGCTTTAAAATCCTGCAACTCGGGCTGGTACTAAACCCCTTATTGTGAAGATGGGAAACAGAGGCTCATAGAGAGGATGGGACATGACTAGTGATCAGAACAGTCCAGGGAAGAGCAGTGACTGAGACCCAGGGCTCTCCTCAGGCACTTATCCCTACACATAGTTGCCCTCTTGCCTCCCTGTCAGCATCTTGGAGTTTGGTGACACAAGATAGGGGGCCTTGGCGTCTCCATCTTGGGGGATGGGGGAACTTGGTCTGGCATCTGCCTGGACAGACAGAGCAGCCCTGACTGTGTACTTGTCAGTGTCCTGGTTGTGCTGCGCATGTCCCTCATGGGGTCTCCAGTTCTTACAGCAGCTTCTCAAAGAAGGAATGGTCCTCTCCATTTCATCTCCCCTGTAGTGTCCCCAAACCATACTGATTAGCAAGAGACTCTTTGGATCCTCTAAATGGGGATGTGACAGCCTTACAGGGCAGCCTTGAGGACTGGATGAGAGCCTCTGCCTGTCAACTGGGTGTTTCCCACTAGAGTGTCTGAGCCTAGGCCTGACAACAGGGGCCCTGGGAGGTGCTCATCGTGAGAGCAGAGCAAGGGTCTGGCCACGTGTGCATTTACCAGCCAAGTAGCCCAGGTGGGACTCCATCAGCAGTCCTGTGCCCTTTACCTCAGCATAAGGACCACTGACTAATTCCAGATATGCCAGGGAAAGCTGTGCACAGCTCTTCAGGGATGCAGCATGTCTCAGTGGGGTTTATTGACTTATGTGAGGAGGGCAGGGCAGATTGCTGCCCTGTGGTACAGAGGACAGGGCTGGGGCCCAGAGGAGAGCAGCATTTGGGCTGTGTTTGCCCTACAGGTTACATAAGCTGGAGTTCACAAGAAGCCACTCGGCATTTTGTGGACACATTGTACAATCGCCTCTGGGAACCCAAATCACCTCTTGTGGCCCTTTGTGTAGTTTGTTTAAATCCCAGGCAGGGATATAGGTGCAGATCAGCTTGCAGGGGGCGGGGGGTGCTGGTGGTGGTAATGAACTCTTGGTGAAGAGCTCCAAGAAATAAAGGAGGCCTAAGGCAACCTAATATTTTCCTCTTGGTGCAGACATTGGAACGCTCTGTCCTGCCTTGGCTGGGACCAAGCCCAGGATGCACCTGGGCTGGATTTAATCCTCAAATTGGCCTATACAAAAGAAAGGGGTGGTCAAGGAGGGACCCAGGGGTTGGATAAGAGAGAAGAGCCCCATTTGTCAGGGCTAAGGGCAGAGCCAGAGTGCAGATCAAGTGGCTGCCCCTTTAAAGTTTCATGCAGGGCCAGTAATGCTAACCAGCTGCTCCCTCTCCACCCTCCCCCCAGTCCAGAAGGTGGGCAGGCCCTCACCCCACCTACCTCACCCCTATTCCCTTCCCTGGAAGGCCAGGAAGGGAGACAGGCAGGAGGACAGGCCACCCAGATGAAGAGCCTTCTGTCTCCTAGCTGAATGGCCACTGTGTGGGGGAGGAGTAGCCCCAGATATCCATTTAGAAGTTCTCCCTCTATAACCCTCTGGTTCTCATGCTAATATCACCCAGCACCCATTCCCCAGGATGTTCAGTGGGCCTGAACACGAACCTTGAGTCTGACCTGTGTGGATGCATGCAATCTGCAGGTGTGACAACATTTACATAGTGCCTGGCATATGTCACAGTTTCTGTTGCAGTTGCACAGGGGGGAACTGAGGCCTGAAAGGGGAAGTGGCTTGAGTTGTAGCATATGTCCATACAGAAATCCCCTCCTAGACCCTACCCCATGCTCCCCACCAGGCCTGCTGGAGGTAGGAGACAAGAACGGAAGAACTGAGTGGACCTGGGACTAATCCGCCCTGCTTTTGTGTTAGTTGGTGAGGCACTTGTTCTCTCTGAGCCTTTGTTTCTTCATCTGTGCAATGGGGGTAACAAGCCAGTTGCCTGTTCATAGTTAAAGGAAGGGCCAGGGATGTGTGCCAGCCATGTCAGCTGGTGGTAGGGTGCAGGCAAGGGGACAGGGGCTGGGGGTAGTGAGTGTAACAAGCCTATTTGAGAGACTAGACTCTGGGTCCCCAAGTAGAAGGGAAGATGCTGATGCTGGAGAAACAGTCACTGCAGGGAGAGTGGGCTCAGCCCCCTGCCATGTGGCAGCAGAGAACCCTGTGCTTAGCTGTATGTCTGTGCCGATCTCTAACCCTTGTCAAGGCTCAGCTTCCTCTTGGTGAAATGGCTACAGGAATCTGCCTTGAAGATGCTTGTGAGGGTGAAAGAAGACAGTGCCCTGGGATGGTCAAGCCAGCACCCAGCCTGTAGATCTCAGCAGAGGTGAATGGAACTCCCAGGACCTCTGCACTGTGACGCTCTCTCTAGCAAAGTCTAGGTCTCCTGCAGCCCCCCAGCCCTGGATCAGCAGATAAAAAGAAATTAGCCAAGAGACCATCTGGGCCAGTGGCTTTCAAAGTAGGATGCTTAATGCCTATGGAAGGCCAGGAAAACTCCAGGTGCTCCCACTTCAGCCAGAGCAGGCTACTTGCATCTGCCAATCCCATCCAAGAAAGGTTTCTACTGCTTCCATTTGAAAATCCATTCACCTGGCCTAACCCTGTCCTCCATACAAATGGGGCAGCTTAGGCCAGAGAAGAACAGGGACTAGGAGTTAAGACTACTTCAGGAAGACATAGAAGTGACACTTCTAGCTGTGTCCACACACATGGGCTTATGCCTTATAGGATAGGATAAGAGTGTCCAGTATATTCACCACCCCCCCACCTCTGGCTCTCTCTCCAGCCCTCACCATGCTGTGGTCCCTGCTATTGCTGTTGCTGACTGTGGGTGGAGCCCAGACCACCAGGTCATGCTTCCCTGGATGCCAGTGCGAGGAGGAGACCTTCGGCCTCTTCGACAGCTTCAGCCTGACTCGAGTGGACTGCAGCGGCCTGGGACCCCACATTGTGCCCGTGCCCATCCCCTTGGACACAGCCCACCTGGACTTGTCCTCCAATCGGCTGGAGACCGTGAATGAATCGGTGCTGGCAGGACCAGGCTATACCACACTGGTTGGCCTTGATCTCAGCCACAACCTGCTCACCAGCATCTCACCTACTGCCTTCTCCCGCCTGCGCTACCTAGAGTCACTGGACCTCAGCCACAATGGCCTGGCATCCCTGCCAGCCAAGGTCTTCACCAGCTCCCCTTTGAGTGATGTGACCCTCAGCCACAACCAGCTCCGGGAAATCTCAATATCTGCCTTCACCACCCACAGCCAGGGCCGGGCACTGCACGTGGACCTCTCCCACAACCTCATCCACCGCCTGCTCCCTCATCAAGCCCAGGCTAGCCTGCCTGCACCCACCATTCAGGGCCTGAACCTGGCCTGGAACCGGCTCCGTGCTGTGCCTGATCTCCGAGACCTGCCCCTACGCTACCTGTGCCTGGATGGGAACCCTCTGTCTACCATCAGCCCAGGTGCCTTCACGGGGCTGGCAGGCCTCACTCACCTGTCACTGGCTAGCCTACAGGGTGTTCCCCAACTAGAACCCCATGGCTTCCGTGAGCTCCCAGGCCTGCAAGTCTTGGACTTGTCGGGTAACCCCAAGCTTAAGTGGGTAGGACCTGAGGTGTTCTCGGGTCTGGGTTCACTGCAGGAGCTAGACCTGTCAGGCACCAACCTGGTTCCCCTGCCTGAGATGCTGCTCCGTCACCTCCCTGCACTACAGAGCGTCAGTGTGGGTCAAGATGTGCGGTGCCGACGCCTGGTGCGGGAAGGTGCCTACCCCCGGCAGCCTAGCTCCAGCCCCAAGGTGATCCTGTACTGTGGAGACACCCAGGAATCTGCTGCCAGGGGCCCAAACATCTTGTGACAAATGGTGTGGCCTGGGGCCACGTGACAGACTGCCGTCCTGGGCTTGCTCAGGTCCCAACTAACTTATATTTTAATGTGCCAATGCCGGTGGGGAATCGACAGGCCTAAGTGGTGTCATCGAGACAAAGCTGTGGTTCTGGGATGGCTTTTGCACCTGTGGCCAATGCCCAGTAACAAAGTCTGCCCCATTGTCTCAGTTGCCCACTTCCCTGAGCTATAAGCAGAGGGATTTCAATGCCAAACCAGACTCTGGTCCCTTCTTGCATCCTGCCCCAGTTGTCGCTAAGTGCCTTCCCTTTTGCCTGGACTGACCTGATCCACAGTGGGAGAAAGGTGGGTGGGAGCCACCACTGCAGTGCTGACTCAGGTCCACTGAGTTGAGGGTCCCCTTGGGCCTCAGGAGCTAGTCACCTTTTCTGTGCTCTGGACCTATGAGGCCACTTTTCCTTTACTCATGGAATCCTGGGTAGAATTTTAATTATAGAAGGGCCTAGAGAGAAAATCAAATCTACCTTCTTCATGAGACAGATGGGAAAATGAGGCCTAGAGCAGCAAGCCTGCTCATCTGAGATCCTACAGATAGGTGTGACTAGAGCCCAGCCTCCTGCTGAGACTGGGGGCTCTGCACATTCCTGTCATCTATCCCCTTCCACTCCCTTTGCTGGGTGCCCCTTGCTGTTGTCTGTGCCCTTTTCTCATTATCCCCAGCAGCAGCAACAAGGTAAAGATCACAGAGGTAGGCCTCTAGGTCCAGTGGCCAGCCTTATGGCATGAGCAAAGTGAGCCCACCTTTCAGAGCCTCAGGAAGCTTGGGATGTATCAGTCCTAAATCTGTCAGTTTCTTACTCTGGGTGGGAGTCCCCCATCATCAAGACTGGAAGTGTGCCCATTTTCCCCCAAGAGACACTGCCTCTAGATGCTTCCCTAAGAAGTTCAATGCAAGTTTGACCATCTGACTGGGAGCTCCAAGGCCCCTTGTGGTCTCAGTGATCCCAAGAGCCTATCTCACCTTACCAGGGGTGTAGTAGAAAGAGTCAGGGTCTCCCATCCACATTATGCTCCACCCCCAGGGTTGCATCTCAGCTTCCCAGCCCTGGGTTCTTTCCTTTGTCTTCATTTTATGTGTCATTGCCTTTTTTAATGAACCGTCACTTTTAACCCCCACCTCTGCTGGCAGAGGATGGAAACATGTCATTTGTAAAAGAAGAGAAACATATTTGTTCACTTTTGTAATACTGTGTCCTGGGCATGTGTTGGGGGTGTTGGACAGAAGTTAGCTATCAGTGGCCATGTGAGCATTGGGGCTGGTCCCCAAGATACTCAGAAGGCAGTGAGTGCTTTGTCACCCCCACCACCAGCCCAGCCCGACCTGACTGATCCTTGGTTTAATAAACACGTATGAGTTCTTTCCATCATTGAACCAATGTTCACTGACAATCATTGGACTGGGGTTGGGGCTGCAAGGATGAATTGGGCCCCACCATGGGCAGCTTATTATCCTTGAAAGGCCAATAATGTTCCAAAATTGGGGAAATATGAAGCCACATGGGAGGGAGTCACTCAGGTGGACTGGCCCTCTCACTGCAGCCTGTACCCTATCCACTTTCTTCATTCCTTATCTGTGCCATCCCTCATCCCACTGTCCATCCACCCTTAGCCAAGACCTTGCTGGGCCCTTGCATACCTCTGCCTCAGCTCAGGCTATTGCTGTGGAACTCTATCCTTGCCCCATCCCTGCCCAACAACCCTTTCTCACTCAGGAGATCCAGTCCCTAACTCTGAGAAATTTCCCCAAAGTCTCCTTCTACCTTCTGCCAAATGAAGTAGTACTTTTGGTCATCCTTGGCATTTAAGCTGTCATGGTACTCCTGTTTGCATACCTCCAGTGACAACTCAATTCCAGCTCCCTGGGAGTTTGTCAGGAGGTTAGTCCTTGTACCTGGCCAGTCTACAGAAGTATCCATTACCATCATCACCACCAGCAGTCTGTTGCTGATACCTACTCCATCCCAGGCCTGGCACTGAGTTGCAAAATGAACACCCTGGGGTCTCTGCCCCAAGGTGGGGGGAGGGTGGATTCCAGTTCTGGGATGGGACAGGGACACACTAGATCTCTAGCTGAAGAGAATCTCAGAGCCAGTGAGAGCCTGTAGTAGGTCTATATGGCTCAGGATAAGTAGATCAGTAGTCACTTTTAACCCCCACTTTTAACAAGGAAGCTGACATTTGGGAGAAGTCATGAATGAGGGGTCAATGACACAAGAGTCCAGAACATTCTAGTGATGGGCATCCATCCAAGAAATTTGCTGTTCTTTCCAATGAGGTCACCACAGAAAGATTTAGCAACAAAAGACCCTGAGCCTAGGCTGGCACCTGCCCATCAGTGTAGGAAGAACTGAAGCATTGGGAGGGTTCCACAGTTCCCCGTGTTCCCTCAGTTGGGGAAGTGGGCAACCCTGTACACAGGTAGGAAAGGCTTAAATGAAGGGATGGTAAGAGCAAGGTACTGTCACTGGATGGCCCTGGGCCCTTCCAAAGCTGTGCTTGTGGAGGGATTCCTTGAAGCCCTTGACACAGAAATCTTTATAAAGATAGGAACAGAGCCTAGAGGGACTTCAGATTTCAGTCTGCCGCTGAAGCTGAGGCTGGTGGTGCACACCAGTAATACCAGAATGCCTAAGGCAGGGCCATCAGCTCCATGCAGGTCTGGGCTACATAGTTCAAGGTAAGACTCTGTCTCAAAAAACAACAAAAACCAGCAATAAACAACAGGGCAGGGCTGGAGCTCTTGTGAGAATGGGACACCAAGGCCATCAGACTGCCAGCTCATTTGTTGAGATGAGACATAACTACACCCCTAACATAACCAACCTCTTGCCTCCCTTGGACCTGAAGCCTCCCAGGTAGAGTTCCTGACAACGTTCCATGCACCTTTCAGCCAAGTGCTGAGGCATCTGGCCCACATTGCCACCTCGTGGCCACATAGAACCCCACACCTCAGGTCCCAGCCAAGCAAAGCCAAGGGCAGCTGGCAACAGTACACTGTGCAGTTTGCCAGGCCATTAGCTGCTTCCTACCAGCCAGACACACTCATTAGGTCTTAGTCCTCCCTCTAGAAATGCTGGCCCCTAGGGTGAGGGTATAAGAATATACAGAGAAGATTCTGTTTTAAATTCACAGGGTTCATCACAAAAATATCCTGAGTTCATCACAAACCAATTGTGTGACTTTTCTGAGCCTGGAAAATGAGGGAGAAAATAGTCACAAGAACAGGAAATGAAGTCACATTTGTACAGACCCAACTGCTGTTCCTATCACAAAATAAGACACCCCAGAAATGCCCTTTCTCCCCTCCTCACAACTGTGCCAAGTACTTTTGTCACCATACAAATGAGGAAACCAGCCCAGGGCTGGCTTCATCCATCAGGTACCATCAGTCCCTCATTCCTGCTTATCATCGCCCATGAGTGGAGCCACTGCATATCTGAGGATCAAAGAGATGGGGGGCTCCTCTGAAACTCCAAAAAGCACTGAGCTTCTGTTTTTTTGTTGTAAATAAATTGGGGAAGTTATATAACTGTAAATATCTCCTGTCAGACCACTACGTCTCAACCCTAAAACAGAGAAGGCCAAGGTCAAAGTCACAATCCTTCCCCTTCCTGTCCCCCTTTCACAGATGGGGAGATGGAGGCCCAGAGAGGAGCAGACACAGGTCCCATGGTAAGTGGCCAGGATTCTGTGCTTCAGAACTGACTATATAATTACAATGAGCATGGGGGTTGCTTGTTCAAAAATGATTAACAATTCCAAGATGGCAAGAAGAGAGCAGAAAAGCAAACACGGGGTTCTTCTAAGACCCCACTGTCCATGAATTCACCCTGCTGGGCTCTGATCACCCCATTAATAGAGTTCAAAGAAGTGGGGATGCCTGGTTTTGGCAAGGATGACCCGTCGGAGTCTTCCAAACACAGGAATTCCCCTCAGTTTTACCAGGCCCAGTCCCTGCTTTCTCTATACTGCATGGCTAAAGGGCTTTCAGAAAAAGCAGTGGCGAGGCAGAAGCTCTACTTAAGTGCCACCAAACCAGCTCACAGAACATTTCTTTGGACAAGAACACCAGGGATGTAGGAGACGAGGGCCCACCACTTGTTCACTTCATGTGACGTTCACTCATGCATAGTTCCCTCCAAGGGTGATGTCTGTAACAGCAGAGGTCATTTAAGGCTAATGTGGCCTTGCCCATAAAGGGTCAATGTTCCTTGTTGGCTAATGTTCACCAGAAAGCAAATGCTGATCCTGTCAATGACAGGTGTGGATCAATGACCAGTATCTAGAAGATGAATATGTCCAGAGGTGGCAGTGTCCACCATACATTGCTGCCTAGTGCCCCAGGTAGCAACTGCCACTATGCCTTGTGCTCAGCACCTAACATCCATCCACAATTCAACTTCTAGCCACAGGAAAATGTCTATCCAGCTAAGTCACGTGCCCCTCTTGATGTTTCCATTTGCTTATTTTATCTTGCGTTTATTTAAGAACTACTGGTTGTGCTTAGGGGGCTTATTGTGTTTGTTGGGCTTGGAGGGAAATTCCTTCTGTATTTATTCTCTAATTCCCAAAGCCATTTATCATGTTATGTTGCACATTCATTAGTCAAAATGTTCTGAACTGGGTAGACAAGCACACATTTATGTTTCTTGTCAGATATACATGTGTCTATGTACCATGTACATGACTATTATGTGTATGATACAGGAAGATGCAGAAAAAGAGAAATTGGTTGAAGAACAGGGTCTGTCTAAGAACAATTTTCTAATTAAACTAATTAAATTAAAATTTTTTAGAAACAGCCATTTTCCCTAAATGAAGTGATAAGTGGACGGGTCAACTCTCGCTGAGGTGAAGGAGAGAAACCCTACTATGTAACTTTATTTTATTCATTTATTTATTATTTTTATTTTATGTGTATGAGTGTTTTACCTTCATGTATATAAAATGTAAATGCACCTGTGTTGTGCAATGCCCACGGAGGAACTGGAATTATGCATGTTTGTTAAGTGCCATGTGGTTGCTGAGAATGGAACTCAGGTCCTCTGCAAGAGCAGCTAGCGCTCTTAACCTCTGAGCCATCTCTCCAGCCCCAGAAAAAACCCTTTTTGAATTCAACAAAAGCAGTTCAGGGGCTGGAGAGAGGACTCAGCAGTTAAGAGTTCTGGCTGCTCTTGTGGAGGACCTGGGTTTGATTCCCAGCACCCACATGACAGCTCACAACCAGCTGTAATTCCAGTTCCAGGGGAGCTGACGCCCTCTTCTGGCATCTTTGGGAATTGCACACACAGAGCACTTACATGCATGCAAAGCACTCATACATATAAAATATAAATAAATAGATAATTTTTTAAAGTGGGGTTCTGGCTGGGCATGGTGGTACACACCTTTAATTACAGCACTTGGGAGGCAGAGGCAGGCCGATCTCTGTGAGATCAAGGCCAGCCTGGTCTACATAGTAAGTTCCAGACCAGCTGGGGCTACAGAGTCCCTGTCTCAAAAAACCTCAAAATAATAATAATAATAATAATAATAATAATAATAATAACAGTGACTCAGGGCTCCTCAGCAACAACTCCCAGGCTCCAAAAGAAGGTGATCTAGGCTCAAAGCCTGGCATTGCTAAGTCTTGGGGAAAGCCATCCACCCTCCCTTTTAGCCACAGTCCCTCTTCTGTAAACTGGATCTATGGTGGTTCTTCTCAGGGAAGTCACTACTAGCAAAGTACCTACCATGCTGCCTATAATGCAGCTAAGTGCTTCAGCCATGAAGCACTTTTTCCTTTGGCCAAGTTTATAAGCCTGCTGATGTTCAAATTTTTCTGACAGAGTTCCTTCAGGGCCTGTCAGCTCCTAGTAGACAAAGGTATGGAAGGTGCTATGTTGGGGACTTCCCTGATTAGGCTCAGGGGCCACAGATGGAATAGCTGACCTGTTGGACTTGAGAGAAGTGGGGAGCCCTGTCCTTTTCCTCTCTGAACAGCCTCACCCTCTTCTTGAAACCCTGTCATTGCTCTTTGGCTTAAGCAGTGACAGAGGTCTCTCCACAATAGGCAAGGGCTCAGGATACCAAAAGTGTCACTGGGGGACTGGAGGTGAGGTGTCTGGGTTGGGTGTGTAAATGTATTACTTCATGGGGCCAAAGAGGCACTTACCTCACTATCAAAGTGTGTTATCCCCAAAGACGCTTTCTAAGGTAAAGACTGAGATGCTGGAGGCAAGATGGCGAGGCCAACAGAGAAAGTGGTGCAAGGACATGGTCATGTACATAGGCCATCAGTGTGATATCCCCATTAAACTAGTGGCCCCAGGAACCCCTGGCTCCTAGTATTCACACCCTGGCCTTCACATTCTTGAATTTGAGCTGGGCCCA